ATAAATGATGCAGCGTAGGATGCAGTGGCTCGTAGAGGCATATAAAAAGGCCGATTTTGGATTAAGCTCGGCGGGTGCTTAAAGTTCGAGTGCTTAGGTATAATTACAAGGAGCTTATAACTGGACCGATTATGATAAGCTCGACAATATTAATCAGATCAATACCATGGGAAGCTTGGCTTATAGCTGGGCGAGCAGGCAGGAAGTGCACGTTCATTAGAGGACAACTCGACTTGGTAACGTAGTAGGAGCCCGTCGTGGATGAGTATTGAAGAGTAGATAGCAAGGTCAGAGGAGGAATGTTGTTCTGCAGACGGCCTGGGCGATGACCTGGGCGTGTTCGTGCTCATTAAGATGAACTTGGAGTTGGGATAACCTTAGGTTCAAGACGTATAGAAAAAGGAAACTGAGTTCCTTAGTTGGAGGAAGTCTATAAAATGTAGAACTCTCAAGATTCGGGGACGATCTGGTCTAGTAAGAAGTAGGGTGGGGAAATACTTCTGGTCGTATCAGGAGTCTTTCCGCCAACACGCAACCTTCACTATAAAAGGGGGTCCTGGTTCTCATTTATACACAACACATATACACGCGCAAAATACCTTATTACTACATTATTGTCGAATGAGAATTGTCTTGGGTGTCAGAGTGTTTTCCGTCGGGAACCCTCCCAGTGTATTTCAGGTCAACGAAGCTGTCAAGACGTTTCAAATTGGAGGATTACAGTTCAGACCCGATCGAAGGATAATTCGCGCAATAATATATAATCATGTTTTCAATGGTTAATTAAAGTGTAATTATTTTTTTAGTTATTCTATTATATAATTGTTATTACTAAAACTAACTCATTATAATTAACACTAAATGATATATGGAAGTTCAATAAGTATAGAAAATTCACACTAAGTGTAATCATTTTTCAAAATTTTTCATTCACTTTAATTAATATTATACTCTTATATTATTATTATTATTTTAAAATTATAACTTCATTTGTAGTTTTTATTCAATTTAAATTTTTAATATATTTATCATAAATATATATAAAAATAATATAATTCTATTACATTATTTATAATTATAGAGTGATAATTACATATTCATATAAAGTTTACTTAAAAAATGATGAAACATAAAACTTATATGATTTTCTAAGATAATTTTTTTTCCAATTAAGTGATTGCCAAAACGAAAAAAATAAAATATAAAAACATGGCAAGGCACTAGTTAGGTCTCTACTTGAGTCTAAAATAGTCTAGTCTAGTCTTGCCTATGTGACATGTAAATAAACCCAAGTCTTGAATGACATGGATAAAACTATGTAAAATTTATAAAATGCACTCCAATGCAAAGAGACCAGGTCTCTACTTGACTCTAAAATATACTAAAGGTAGACCAGGTCTCTTTTTTTGGTTGCCACATCATGACTCAATCTACTTTTGATTGCATTGGAGAATATATTTTTTTAGACTAGGTCTATTTTTTAGGTGGCATACATGTTTTGTGGTTAACCCAAAGCATTGTGAATACTCTTAAAATTGATTTAAAAAGCAAAAATAATAATAAAAAAAAACATAAATTTAAAGGCGTGGCATTCCACGCCCTCCATCTTCCACATGCATATTTTGAAACTGAAGTGGTGGTGCGTGTGTCACACTCACACAACATACATTTCATTTTTTTCTTCTTTTTTTAAATAAATTTATTATAGATTTTGTTGAGGGCCTTGAGGCTAATGCAAAACTTGGTTTGAGTTTTCAAACCTAAAACCTCTCAACCGTAACAGATAAACTCCAAGGTTACAATTTCAAACCTCATCAAAAACATTTGTCAAAGATGCTGCTCTAAATAGAAGACATATCTTCTTCCTTTTCCTCGGAAGGGATGGCGAATTCATTTAATCCGTGTCCTTCGTCGAGGGTACCTCTACCCATGTTTGATTTCCCACCATCAAAAGTCCGCCAGCCACCGCCTCCTCGACGGCCAGGTAAAGAAGAATGGAATACAGAGGTTGAACCCTTCAAATTCCTGGTCCCACCCGTTCACCAGGTTAGGCTACATATATGTAAAATCCTTATTCATTCTATTAATTTTCGGTATATCGATATAGAATTTCTAGGTTAAAAGTTTCCCCAATTTTGTTTTCTCTTGGGTTGATGAAACATTGGAAGAATAATATATATGCAGATTATCCGCACTTACTACCGGAGGAGGTGGAAAAGAAGTAGGCTAACAACAGCCATAGAATCTCTACCTGATGAGCTGTTGATTGAAGTCTTTGTGCGAATCCCATGCCAGCAAGACATTTACGAGGCAAGGCTTGTTTGCCGCAAATGGTACCGTATAATCCACACCCCTAATTTCATGTCTGCCTACTTACACATCTCCACTTATGGTCTCCTATTAAAATCCGAGTATTGGGAATCACTTTTGATACTCCCTCAAAGGGAAAGGGGAGGAGGGGTCGAGATAACTCAGCTGAGGTACAAACGTAGGTGTAAGGTCACTAGTAGTTGTAATGGATTGTGGTTAGAGACTAACATGAAAAAAAACGGACATGAACTTTTCGTCACAAATCCCTCAACGGGGCAAATTGTTGGTCTCCCTCCGTGTGTCGGTAATGTTTCCGGAGGAAATTATTATGACGGAAAATACGCGATGGGGTACTCACCGGCTTCCATGGAGTATAAAGTGTTTATATTCTATCCTCCTCCTGAAGGAACAACCTCTCGCGCGTTTTGTCATATATTAACCGCTGGAGTTGATAAAAAATGGAGGAATGTTGATTTGGGACTCATCTCATGTGAGGAGGCACTTGAGGCATTCCGCGAGATTCCGTTGGTTACTGAAGGTTTCATTCATTGGAACCGTCTCTATATCCACCATGTCTTGACTCTTAATGTGGAGACCGAAACTATAACAGAGACTCCAGCCCCTCTCCCGACTATTGGGAGTCGATGCAATATTTACCTATCAACCGGGAAATATCTGACGTTATTGAGTCATTATGGGCAGTGCTCGTGGCAGGTTTGGGAGCTGAGTCGACCCGAAATAGGGGAATGGAGAAAAAAGGCCCATTTTTGCTTGGATGATCACAAGGAAAGATTCAAGCAATTAGGTGTGGTACCCAAAGAATTTTATTATTTGCTCCCGCTAGGCTGGGTCAAGTACCCAGAGTTGTTGGCCATGAAAGGTTGGGCTAAACAATCTTGTGATTATGCATTTTTGCTATACAATTTTGTCACGCAAGAAATCGATGAAATCGGGCTACCTTGCGAAATTAATTTATGCAGAATTGCGGTACATAAGAGTAGTTTTGAGTGGTTGGATGCAGTGAAGTGAAGCCTCCTCGACTGGTATCAAAATGATTATACTCTGTGTTGTTTTGGATTCTGTTACTTTTTCCAAAACTTTGGTTTGGATTATGATAACTTTGGTTTCTTGTTACTTTGGTTTCTCTGTCATTTATCATGAAGCCTCCTCGCAAGAAATCTATGAAAACTTTGGTTTCTTTTACTTTTTCCATTCTTTTTTTAATGTTGGATTATGATAAAAAGTGGGGACTCTTCTTTTGTTGTTTTGGATTCACATTTGTTTGGGCAGTCCCAAACATAACGAACTTTCATTCCCTTCGTTAATTAAAAATTTCGGTTTCGCATAACTGTCAACCAAACCAGGATTGGTGTCAAACCATTTTTTTTTTCCATTGAATCAGTTCAACTATAGGTTAAGTCAAACCATAGAAATTGAGAAAGTAAAAACAAAAGATCAGTGGAAATAATTATTGATTTCCATATAATAAAACCTTGGCTCTGATACCATCTACGATACCAGTTAAATATATGTACATATCTCACTCCTATACATATAAGGCAACACCAAGAGATATTGTGAGGCCGACACGTGGCATTGATTTCTTTTTTTTTTTTTTTATTTGGTTTTCATACCAAACAGGGTCGTTTAATGGTTACTGAATTCTTCCGCCTTTTTTCTTCTCCTATATCCGAAATTTCTGCACACGCAAAGATGAGATTTGACGGGAGCAGGTAATGTCTTCACTCCTCACAAACCTTACCAACCAAACCTCTCATTTCTCAATTCTCACCTCCACCATACCTCTTTATAAACCATACCAAAGCACTCCTTTCCCAATTCTCACGGCTATCATACATTAAAGGATCAGCGTTCAATTAAAAATAGATCGAGGACGGATGTGCATAGATCAAGTCCTATCTCTAGGATTTGGTAAAGATTGTACCTTTTTGTCATAAATATTGCATATTTGTTGAGAAACGGAATGTAAGTCTAGGCATGAATCATTACTTGTTGGGAGAATCTTATGCCTGCTGAGTTGAGGAGAAATTGATATAGTTTCGAAGTTCCAGGTTTTGAAGCTTTTCTCTTGATTAATCGTTAATTATTGATTAATTTAATACATTTTTCCTTGGTGAATACATAGTGCAATTTTAGTTAAAGTGACAAATTAGTTTTGGCATATTGAGAGCATCTCCAATGAAAAATTGTCCATTTTGTGTTGTATGGCATGGAGAATGAAAACTAAAAAATTATGTCTCCAATGGTTAATGTTAATTGTGGTATCATTTGTGATATGTATATTTAATTGGTTAAAGAAGATAAATAAATTAAATAAATACTCTAATATACACGAGAAGTTGTCTAGAAAGGCTTCTACATCTAGAAAGCCTTCTAGAATTTTTTCAAGCCACATAAGATTATTTGTGACATGTGACAACAAAATAGAGAAATAGAAAGACCATTGAAGATGCTCTGATAACAATTGATATTGCTCAACATATTATTGATAAATTGTTGTTTACTTATGTTTCTACATGTCATTATTCCCGTTGAGTGAATGTATGCAATGTTGCTGAAGATATTTGATAAACTTTGGTAAAATTGCCAACACTAATGTTCATATATACTTCCAGTTTTGGTGATTGTTAGTCTTTCAGTTTGTAAATCATTTTATGTTAATTTAACAGCTGCCACAAATGGTTAACATCCCACTTACCTGCACGAAAAAAGGTTTGTATATTGTGGATTGCGTATCCATTTAGCATAAATTTATTTGTGTATACACATTGCTGGTCAACTAAACACCATACTCATTTTGAATCCAGATGGAAGTTATGAGTAATCCAAGTTGAGAATTCGGGTAGTGGAAGCGCTGCAGATGGTAGCCTGAATACGGTGGAGTATTTGACGAATATTTTGGTGTCTAACGCATATGATGTGGGGTACGAGTGTCAGTTGCAGACTTTCCGGGAGGTGTGCCGTAAATATCTGGCTTGAGAGGGAGGATCTTCAGCCTGTATGTGTTTTGAATGTTCAAATATCATTTGTTTATGTATATCTTAACGTTGTTGACTTCTATGTGCCTTTATGTTATTGTGATTAAATTTGCATAGTCTGATTTTATGTTTTTTCGTATTCTAGCAAAATTTGAGGCGTTATATTGAAATTTGGGGATTTACTTATGAGTTTATGGAAAGAGTATAGATAGTTTCTAACGAGCGTCGGTTTTTGAGATATTTGCTGGGTTCTTACATGAGGTACTGGGTGAGGTTGGACTCTTTCTCATACACCAGCTCATACACGAGAGAATCGACGCCTTCGAGGTGAGCCTTCTGAAGGGAAGCAAGAAGGAGAAGAACATGAGACAGACGAGGAAGGGCAAAAATGGCAATGTGAATGTAAGTGGTGTTGGACTATTGGATGAGCGGAAGAACCCTGAGACGGCCACGGCTGTTGCGGACTTCAATTTCGGTGTGTCGTCCTTATTCAAAATTGAAAACAAAACAGAAGGTGATTCCATAGTCAACTTCGGCAACAGGTTACTTAAATGGTACCTATGAAAAGTTCCCACAAAAGGTGGTTTGAAGTTGCTGTTGACCGGCCTTATTAGACAAATGAAATTTCGGTGAAGGAACAAGTTTTTTTAAAATATCAAGTTGCACAAAAGATGCATGTTGTGCTCTCTGCTTCTCGAAATATCTGTGTGTTAAATTGTAAATGGTAATGTATATATGAGATTTTTTTTGAAAAAAAAAAATGAAGATGCACAGAATATGCATTTATATATATTCTTGGTTGCGGATATATATGTTATATCTATTTTGAGATTAAAATATGTAATTAATACATTGTGTTGTTAGATTATTTTGCTAATTTAAGTGACACAGCAGGTGGAGATGAGGAATTTTATGCGGAGGAGAAAGAGTAGGAGATGGAGAAGGGCTTGGTTAGGAGATTTGTGAGTTTTCTGGGGGAGAGGATTTGGAGCGTTTGGTGACGAAAATATATTGGAGACCTAAGCNTTACATTTCAGTATACTTACTGCCCCCCATCCTTTCCTTTTGCATATATAGGCGAAAAACCAACAATGGATTCCTTCACGGTCTCCTTCGATTCGCGAGCGAGAACTGGCTGGAATTACGAGTCGCTCAAGAATTTCCCGCAGATCTCCCCCGTTGTCCAGATCTCCCCCAAATTCTGAAACATAACGGGATATTTTTGTCATTAGAAGGAAAAAATCGGGTACTTCTGTGATAATTTCACTAATCTCACAGAAGTGTTTTTTCTTATTTGTTTGTTTCTTATTCCCATTTTTGTGTAAAATTCAGGTCCACAAGAACAAGAGAAGCATGAAACTCTAAGAAGTGTGTGAACGTTGATGATGATAATGTCGAGGATCACAATGACAACAACAATATGAAGATTAATAGTCAGAGCTCGAGCAGTTACTGTTCGGAAGATGATTCGAATGCTTCCCGTGAGCTGAATGGGGTTGCGCCGGCTTCGTGTTCTGTGGGGTCAAAGGGCAGTGGGTTCCTCAACTCGGACAGGAAAACACATGCTGCAACTGATCCACAGAGCCTCTGTGTATGGAAGGGTAATTTTCTTTCAGAGTTGAAAAGGAAAAAAAGGTCCATTCATGCATGTCTTGTGACTAAAGATTGCAGCATTCTTATGGGGAATGGAAACACTACCTTCGGAAAAAAAAAAGAAGAAGAAAATTGATATGGGTGATGTCAACCTCAAGTCCACCAATGCTAAGTTATTTCAGTCGCAACATGGATCGGGAGGGAGTTTGCACCTGTTGATCACCAAACCATTAACCCGAAATGTCGATTTAAGCTGCCGATTGACATGTGTTTTGTTTGGACCAATGTATTTAGAGGAATTTGCACCCCTTACTCCCTCATATGAAATAAATTATAATTATGCACCCCTTTTACAAATATTTGTATAATTACCTAAACAAGCCTAAATATTTGCTATTATACCTAAACAATAAAATTAAGTTAATTATATCAAGTAATTAAATACATCAGATAATTAAGGAAACGTTACTGATTTTACGGTTATTTTGAATGCAATCAATATCTTTTCAACAAAAAAACCTCCCACTCCCACCGCCCACGTTCACCGTCGTGCACAGAAGGAAAAATCAGTAACCGAAGATACTCCAATGGCGAAGACAAAAATCGCTCGAGATCCTCGAAAAAAAACGGCGAACGAAGATGATGAAACACCACAGATAAGATCGAGTTCCCGTCTTCGTAAGATCCACGCAAAATCCAAACCCAAAATCGTGCAGAAGAAACTCGTTTTTGAGAGAAATATGAACCCTAAACCTAATCGCAAGCCCACTGGCAACGCAAGAGCGAAGAAGAACATTTCATCCCCTGATTCAGACGACTTCCAGTCCAACGAAGACCGTAGAACTCAAAAATCTGTTCGTCTGCACCGTAAATCAAAAATCCCCAATTCCACTGAAAATGAAAAATCTTCTGACACCGACTTCGAAGTTGAAATTCAACCCGAAGACGTCGATAGCGAGGGATTGGAGAGCGACGAAGAATCCCCGGCCGAAAATTTCAAGAAAAGAATCAACAAAAGGCAAAAACAAGAGAAAGATGCACTTCAGAAGAACAAGAAAAAGAGAAAACCTAACACCGGCGTCCCAAGTGGCATACAACATGTTCAGAAACAGATAGTGTATAAGGTAAATTTTCTTCTACATTCCATTTTTTTCATTATATTTTCTCATCTGAAAGATTATTAATTTGTTTATTGAATTTGTTTATTCATCATCAACTATATCCTTTTGTCAGTTGAATGTGTGTATGTCAATGAATAAATCGTCATGGGTACCTCCAAGATTTTTGGTTGACTAAGCATGTTATGTAGTCCTATGTAGTCCCAGAGTTTAATAATCTTACCCCTGTGCACTAACAGGGGTATATAGGAATTAGATTCGTATGTATATAATAGGTCAATCAAATGACTGTAATTTTCTACTTTTTTTCAGTGTGAAATGATATAATCACTTGGGTTAATGTGTATATTCCAAGTAAATAACACTGTTGCCCGTTTTCACTCTTCCTATTTGGTTTTGGATATCTGCATCATTTGTTCACATAACTTACAGTATGCTATATTTTTCAGTGGAACTATCCATGTTAATGTGCAAGTACTTATAAATTTTATGGTATAGCTAAGTTACCTGTTCATTTGCAAGTACATATTGTCAGTACTATGGTATTTTTTTAAGTTTTTTTATAGTATAAGCTCATATAATATGTGGTCACATATACCACACATATAAACTGAATATATATCATTTTCTGGTATATCTTTCTTATATTTTCTTCTGTAATACACCACATATAGACCATGTTCATTTGAAAATAACACTGTTCTGTAATATACCAGAAGTATATTAGTATCCAAGTAAATATCACTGTTGCTCCTTTTCACTCTTCCTAAGTATATGGTCTGGTTTAGGTTCCTTTACATGTCATGATAAGTATCTGGTATAAATATACTATGAATATAACATATATATAATCTGTCAGGTATGATAAGTATTTGGTATATCTATAAACAGGTATATTACTATGGTATATTAACTCCTTCTATATTAATCAATCAGGTATATTACTCATTCCCTGTCCCTGTCACTATTTTTTTTAAACAGTATATCTATCTTATATGATAAGTACATATACTCAGGTATATCCATGTTATTGTGTGGTATATTTTATTGCTGTAAGATATTCCTGGAAAAGTACATGGTGTATATATAACAGAAATATACCATACATATAATCAGTACTGTAAGTGGTAACATATTGTAAGTTATGATATGGTCCTATATTCTAAGTTACAATCATTACTGTAAGTTGTATCATATTGTATCATTTTTGTAAGTTATAACCATGTATATAAAAATCCATATTGTTTTCTTTTCATTATTTTCAGGAATGGGAACTGCTAATCCCGCACCCCAGGGATATAAACGTGAAGGTGCAAAACAGTAACGATAACAGCAAGGAAAAATGCACGATAAGTGACATCAAGAAGATGCTTACCAAGGAGCAATTGGAAGCTTTTAGGATGTCAGCCTTTGGGAAGTTCTTGGATCTCCCACACTGCATTGTACAGAACCAACTCATCAACTATATACTCCTACGCGAGGTTCATCAGAGTAGGACTGATGAAATTTGGTTCGATTTCGGAGGGAAATTTCTCCGATTTGGGATAGAGGAATTTGCTGTCGTGACTGGTTTGAAGTGCACTGGACATAGTAAGAAATTGAATATTCCAAAGATTGCCGGTGGTCTGCACGACAAGTATTTTGATGCTGTGGAGTTAAGCAGGAGTCACATCAGGTGGCAGTTCTTGAAAAAATTATGGGCGAACGATGAAGATGCAGTGAAATTTGCTAAGTTGCATTTATTAGCAAATTTCCTCATGGGCTCTCAAGATGCTCTTCGCATAGACCGCTGTTTTGTTGACATGATCGACAGTCCTGAATGTGATGATTACTCGTGGGAACCGCTGTGTTTCAGTTTACCCTACACTACCTGAAGAAATCAATCCAAACCAGAGAGCAGCTGCACATATCGGACAAGGATGATGGAAGCAACTTGTACCGGTGCTATGGTCTGATATTGGCTCTTCAGACATGGTTCTATGAGGTTTGCGACACGGCTGAGGGTGTGGTCGCAACCTACGTGGGTGTAAACAATATCCCGAGGATAATCAAGTGGGAAGTTCGGGAACCCTGTACTCGAAGTTTTGTGCAGAGGACGTTTTCTAATCTTGATCAATCTAAGGTAAAAAATAAAAATTTGTTCTTTATATATTTCTACATCTATCGCACTAACAAATTCTTCTTCTTCTTTATTGTGCACAGTTCAATAACATAGTACCCACCGAAGCTGAGAAACAGACTCTTCTTTTGGACTCATTCTTCAGAAAAAAAAATGAGTTCACTCGGAAAAAGATTCCGCCAACTGCCGCCACAGCACAACTTACCACTGATGATGATGATGTCATAACCCGTCTCAACACACTTACTGCCGAAGTCCAGAGTCTGAAGGAAGCCTTCTACGACTTCTCCAAACGGGTTTTTGCAGAATTTGATTTATTCAAAGAAAAATTCCTTGTAAGTCATTTCTTCAGGTTCATTGCTTTTTGTTTTTTTTAGCATATATTTGCTGCATATAACTCTATGTATATATATATAAATATATATATATATATAAAATTGCTGCATATATTTGAATGTATGGTAAAACATTGATCGTCTCATTTAATATACTTAATTATATGATATGCTGCATGTTCCTGTGCAAGTACATAATGGGCTGCAGGTTCCTGAATGGAAAAAATATTTGGGTAAATATAACTTATAGTACGGTATATTTTCCAGCCACACATCCATGTTAGTGTGTAAGTTGTTTCTTGTAAATATTATGGTATAGCTCAGTTACCTGTTCATTTGCAAGTATATATTGTTCCTGTACAAGTGTTTTTTAAGTTTTTTTATAATATGTGCTCATATAATATGTGGTCACATATAACACACATATAAACTGAGTAGATATCACTTTCCACTATTTCATCTTATATTGGGTTCTGTAATATACCACATATATACCATGTACATGTGCAAAATTTTTTTTTAAAATAGTGTATAGTATGTTTTCAGATAATATGTGGTCACATATACCTCACTTAAATTCTGTTTAAGTATGAAATCTATGATGGACAGATAGTTGTTCAACTTAAATTCTGTTATATCTAACTTATATTCTGATTATTTTTCCAAGTCCATGTCACAGTTCCGGTATAAGTACATATTGTTCCTGTGCAACTGTTTATTTTAAGTATTTTTACATTATGTGTTCCTGTAATATACCACATATATACCATGTACTTATATTGGGTTATTTAATATACCATGTTCCTGTGCAACTTTGTGTTTCTGGTATATCTATCTTGTATTGGGTTTTGTAATATACCACATATATACCATGTACTTGTGAAATTATATTTTATAAAATCGTGTAGAGTATGTTTTCAGATAATATATGGTCACATATACCTCACTTAAATTCTGTTAAAGTATGAAATCTATGATGGACAGATAGGTGTTGAACTCAAACTCTGTTATATCTAACTTCTATTCTGATATTTTTTCCAAGTCCATGTCACAGTTCCGGTATAAGTACATATTGTTCCTGTGCAAGTGTTTTTTTTAAGTATTTTTAGGGTATGCGTTCACATAATATCTGGACACATATACCAAATATATAACTGCTTTAAGATGTTCTTTTTTTTTTTTGTTTTATATATCTGAACACATTAACATATAATATGTATTATCACGCAATATGTATTGTCATCTCAACACATTAAGATTATAACATAGGGTGGTGCCAGTAAAGAGCAACACGTCGGTAAAGGGAAGACAACTGAAGTTGGTATTGGAAGTGAAATGCCAGATGCTAGCACTCACACCTCCACCGGAAAAGAGACGGTTTTTGTTTTCTCAGAATATATTTTTTTTTGTCTATATCTCATTTCTAATGTTATTATATTACAGATGATAGTAACCATTATATTAACATCATTCAGTAACATTTTTTGTAATGTTCTGTTTGTTTATATGTTTGTAGCCATTTCAGATGCCATCTAATGTGAATGTTCAGACAACAAACGAGGTTGAAATTTAATTGTTTTTTCTTTCTACCTATAACATTAATTACATAATTATTATTTCTTTTTCTTCGGGTTACTGCTGTCCTAACATATCTCTTTTAATTGCAGATCCCTGTCAAATCTCCTGTACGAACATTGAG